AGATATTTTTTTATTGTTAGAGTGTACTCTCTGAGGAAAACGAAAAGAAGTCTGAGCTGCCTAAATATGAAGTGACAAGATTAGATCAATTGCAAAGTTGTGTTTTGTGAAGGTCAAGTATTAAGGTTCCTGACAAGCTGTTGTTAAAAATAAAAATGGGGTCATGTGAAAGAGAAATTTAAGATTTGAAAAAGTTCATCAGGTTAGGTAACAACCAAGACTTCTTTCCATATATGAATAATGTTATAGTTTATATTGCAACCACAGTGGCTGGTGATAGCTTGATAGTGCTGAGACTTTAAACCCTGTGCCACCATTTGGGAGGCCCAAAGTTTTTTTTTTAAATATTAATTCTTATTTTTAGACTTATTTATTTATGCATAAAAGGAACTGAGTATATAGGCCAGAGGTGGCCTATAGGGGGTGGGTATAAGTGGGTTCACCAGAGACAGAGTGAGGAGCAGAACAGGTGGATCTACTGAAATACACTGCTGAGGGGAGCAGCGAGTTAGATAGGAGAGGTCTGCTGCTCCATATGTAGGTAAGCTCCCTGATTAGTACGCAAACTCAGGATATAGTGGTGAGTGCTGAGATTTAACCCCTAGGCCCCAGGAAGGCCCTGCCTTGCATTGCTTGGCCAGTCTCATCACCTCAATACAATGATCATTTATTTTCTTATGGTTTTTAATTAATACTTAAACATGTACAGTTCTTATTTTAAAGTACACATAAACTGTGTCCTTATTGTGCTTTAATTCAATAGTTAACAAAAATGATAGTATGTGATCTATAACCATAATTTATTTTACCTCTATCATTAGATATTAAGTTTGTTTTTTTTTTTTTTTCAATTTCATACAGTTGTAAAGGTTGCATTTATTTCTTTTGTACTTTTCTTTTTAGGATATAACATTGAATAGATCAGTGACTGTTAATGCCGTTTTAGCCATAAATATGTATTGTCAACATAACTTTAAAAGTTTTAATCAAGGCCCTCCCCAGTGGCGCAGCGGGTTAAAGCACAGCACTGAGACTCTAAAGCCGCTTCCTCATGAGTCCGATTCCCGCCTGCCCCGGAGGTGACCACATGGTGTGACAGACCTCTTCTGACCCACCCACCTCTCCCCTCTCGGCAATGTACTTTGTCGATCTGCCTGTTCTGCTCCCCACTCTGTCTCTGGTGGAGCCTCTTGCCACCCCTGAGCCTCTGGCCTGTACCCCATTTCTGTATAAAAAATAAAAAAAAGTTTTAATCAAATTTGCAAAGAATGATCATAAAAGTTATTAACATGATAGTCATTTCTGCTACATATTGAGTGTGTATAGTCTGATTATATGGAGTAGTAATTTTTACTTATTTATTTTAAAATTTTAAGCCCAGTCTTTTTTAGATTTATGATCTCTGTAAGTCCCAGTTTATTAAAATTACAAAATAGGGTTAGTAATCTAATATTCAATGTTATAAAGAATAGAGGCAGTCACACATATATGATCACAAATGTGAACATGCCCACACAACACACACACACACACACACACACACCACTTAATTCAGTCCCTGGCATATCATAGGTACATTGAATATGTTGATAGATAATATACAGTGAAATATATTTTATGTATTTGTAGTTTCACAGGAGGGTAATGATTAGAATATTTTGCTACACATAGTGTCCTATATGAAAATAAATGGAATTTAAAGTTTACAAACCTGTCTGTATAGCTGATATCCTATAGTGAATGTCATACCTGCAGTATGCCTGAGAATACTGCATAAAAAATAAATTTATTGCCTGAAGCAATGTTGGCTTATAATTGGTTCTTTTCCTCCAGGAAATTGAGAAATATATTGGTTAAAATAGTTTTCTTTGAATTCATATTTTAAACCCCAAAGCACTATCATTCTGCCTGCCTTTCCTTTAAATCATTACATATTTATGGCCAAGCATGATTATAGATCTAAGAATACAATGTTAAATAAAATTGGCAAGATCTCTTTATAAGATTGGACATTCTAATTAAAATAAACTGGTTCATTTCATCAAATTTTTAGTTCAGCTAATGTAATGCCTGTGAAGACAGGATGAGACAAAAGGATATGAGAGTCAGAGGGTTGCTAGGATCCCTTGAGAATCAGTGATGAGGGGAAGAGCCTGTTTACTGGCTCCTAGGTGATGGCAAACTTGGAATTCCCTTAGCTCACTTTAAGGCACTGTAATGCTGGGAGCTCACTTACTTTACAGAAACATCAAATTCTTTGGAAGTTTTTATTGTTTGAGTCTGTGTGTGTGTTTTTTTTTTTCTTCTGATAAATTTTAAAAGGTTCAGTGCTTATGTAAATCATAAAAAGGTTTTAGATACAGTTACTTTTGATGAAATTATGATAATTGGAAATATGATTAAATTGAGAAGTTACAGTCTTTTTTCTACAACAGCTGTTGTAGAAAATGAGATATCCATGTTTGCTTGAGAGCCAACACTGCTGTAATTTTTTTGGGGGGTGGGAGAGTAAAGCATAAAATTGTAATGTAGTAAAATGCTTATGTGAAAATAGGGATGTTGAATACACTTAGAGAATCTTCTGGGTTTGTCAGATTGCTTTCTCTGTTTAGAAAAACTTAGGTTGTAGTAGAAATGTCACATTAACTACTGTCCTGGACCACCAGACTATAAGCTCCTCCAGGAAAATCACACTATGATTTTCCTCTGTTCTCAAACAAAGGACCAACCGTTGGTGATACTTACAGCCTTATTTGATGATTGAAATGCTTTCAAAATTCTCAGTACTTTAGTGTGTTGTTTAGCATTAGTTAGTGTGTTATGATTGATAGTTGAAATTTAATGAGTGTGCTCTGTGTTTATTTTGAAATTATAAATTGACATGATTTTATTTTCACTTGTGTAAGTGACTGTATTTTTGTCAGGAAATATGTATGTTTCTTTTTTTGTTTATTTTTTATCTGCTACACCAAGGAATGGGTCACATTTTTATTTCTGTAGCAACATGCTTCTTGGCACAGTAAGAGAAACTCAGAACATATTTTTAAATTTACTAAAAGTCTACATAATTCTTCATGCACAATTTGATGAATTTTAATGTTTGTTATTACATTAGTTTAATTTATTGTCTTGTTTGGCTTCAAATATTTGACTTAATGGGGTCCTTACCACCTGTCATCACTAATGTTCATTAAGCTGTGACCTTTTATCACCTTTTTCTAAAGCATTGTACAGCAAGATAAATATAAAACTGTTAAAATAAGTAATAACAGCACTTTTGATTAGTTTTTTTCCCCAAGAATGTGTGTTTATTTGTTTATGTTTGTGTTACTATGCCTCTACATGTTTGTGTGTGAGGTTAAGTAATAGTTGCTCCCCCTTATCTGCAGGGTATATGTCATAAAATGTAGTCAGTCATCTCCTATACATACATATTTATGGTAAAGTTAATTTACAGCTTGGACACAGTAAGGGATTAACATTAAGAACTCAATATAAAATAGAGCAGCCGTAACAATATACTATAACAAAGTTTATGTGAGTGTAGCCTCTTTCTGTGTGTCTCTCTGAAAATATCTCACTATGTGCAGCATTTTGTGACCATGAAAGTGAAGCCATTAAAGAGGCAACTCCTGCAATACTTGTGGAAAACTTTAAACTGTAAAAACTAACAAATGAAGGAAGCATATTTGCAAAAACCCAACACTCATGTATGGTCATTATAAATATTTTGCCATTTCTTTCCAATTGCATTTCTATGCTTGTGTTTATATGAACACATATATATGAGAAATGCTTTACATGTGGAAGGTGATTTACAAATATATTTAATATATGAATGGTTTAAATATATGAAATAATTTACAGCTTAAAATTTAGATCATATAATATGTACTGTTTTATAATCTTACTTTGACTTTTAAACTAAAAAATTCTTATTTTTTAAAGTAACATGGATTTAGATAGCTTTATAATCATTTGTGTGTATGTGTGCATGAATGATATATTTTATAAATATATAGCATTCATTTAATATTCTGTTTTCCATTTTTGTTGTGATAGTCTTATGATGTACATTTTTACCATAGCGTTTGATGACTACCATACCATAGTAGATGACTACTTCCTTAGAATGTAATTTTAGAGAAATTACTGGTACATAGAGTACAAACTTAAAGTAATTTTTAATATTTAATCAGATTTTTGTCCTTGAAAAATGATAATTTTACTGAATTACAAAGGGTAGCTGTTGATCTAGAAAATTTGGACATCAAAAATCCAAAATGCACAGAAAATTGGAAATTACTTATAATGCTGACATCTAGCTAAGACTTCAGCTCAGCTACTGATGTATATAATTTGTGTCTTTATTTTCATCACATATTTTACCAAAAAGAATAATTTTGTTTTCTAAACTGTATATCCCCCTACTTGGTAGTGTAGTTTGGGATAAAAGTCATTGTGTTTTGCCTGTTCCCACGTCCTTTGTGATTTTAATAAGACAAATTCCTAGAAAGAAAATTGCTGGTTCAAAGTATATGAATAATTTTTAAGGCTTTTGGCATGTATCTTTCACATTGCCTCCTGACAGATTGTACCAGATGTCATTTATACTGGAAGGAGGAATATGTATTTTCAGGTCATCCACCTTAAAATTAACTAATTTGTCTTATATAAATCCTATACCTCCTCTTCTTCTTCTCCTTTTTAACTCTTCTTTGAGAGAAGGATAAGAGCACCTGTGTTAAGTCATTGTGAGGTGGGATGTAGTTATAAACTGTTCTAAAAGCTGACTGTGGAGTGGTAGTGGTGAGTGGTTAGATGATTTTACTAAATACATAGTAAGTCAGAGACAAGTTTCTTAATAGTTGCAGGTCTTATGATTACTAATGTAATTAATTAGCCTGCTTCTTGAGTTTACGTTCAATTAAATTTTATTATTACTACTAATCATTTTTTTTTTTAACTAGTTGTTTCAAGCATTGTGTTTTCTTTTCCAGGCTCTTCAGCAGCTGCACAGAAAGCATGGTCTTGGGAGCAGTACTTGAAAGAACGGAAGGCTATAGCTGCACCGGTTGAACTGTTTTCCAAGGTAAACCTTTGAAGGTTTTATATTTTTGCAAGAGTTAAAGATGTAATTAAAATGAAACCAGTTGCCTATAGTACATCAGCTTATATGATTTTGTTTGCCTTTTCTGGAAATGACTTAACAAAGCTAATCAAAACCTTAGTGTTTCCAAGTGTGTACTTGGAGCTCAATTGAAACCCAATTTAACTCTCTACCACTTCTGTGACCTGGTCAAATATAATCTCCCTGTGCCTCTGTTTCCTTATCCAAAAAGTTAGGGAGATAACCATACTACCTCCTGGGTTACCAGAGGATTAAGTTCATTGTACATGTAAAGGATATATACATGAAAACTATGTACATATAAATGGTGCAACTTGCATATAATTGCATTCAGTAGATGTTAGTCTTTTTGTTAGCTGATATAATTTGCATATCTCCTAAGGATCAGATTAAAAGGATCTATTCTAATGTTAGAGGAGACAAGAAAACCTCTAATTCTTGTCCTTTTGGACTAAACATGCTCAACACACCATGTAGACTTCCTTGACCAAATGAATGCCGGCCCTCATGAGGGCTTATGGCCCCAAAAACCATCTTTCCACAAGGTACCAAAACTTTTGGTGCCCTTCTGCTCTTCTCAGTCTTTGCTTTCAGTAGGTATGGGGCAGTGTATATAACAAGTCTATCATATTTGTGTTTTTACTTTGTACTTTTAAATAACAGTAAGAAGCTTTCTATTGCTTTAGTTTTTCTGGCATCTATTGCATTATTTTTATTATGTAGGATTGTGAGCAACTATAAGCCTAGTCACAACAGTAGGTTAGGAATGGAAAGTACAGTAAAGAAGTCACAAAGAGAAACCATTAAATATTCTCTTAATTGTATAGGTATTAGGCTTCACTAGCAGGACATTATAAAAGTTATACCATGGCAAATGATTCCCTCTACTGAAATGGTTCTTAACCTAATCTACACATCAGATACTTTCATGGAGCTTTGAAGAACATAGACCTAGTTATTCTTATCCCTGATACCTCCTACATGAAGAATCCATGGAAGGGGAGCTGGAAATCTGTCACTTGAGAACCTTTTCAGAAGTTCTGAGCACAGGGCAGAAGTCTCCTGTGGGAGAAGGTTTTGAGAACTTTGTAAATCCAGCTTAGGGGTCAGGTCCCTGTTACTTGATGAGTCTGTTGAGTGCTGTTGCTCGATGAGTCTCAGGATATTTCTTTCACCGAAAATATGTGAGCTCCCTGAAGGAGGAGTCTCTTCTTTTTCTTTCATATTTCCTCACAGGGGCTGCTTTTGAGTGTCTTCATGTGATCAGTTAATTATTGAATGACTTTCAGGAAACCACTTCTGAGTTGAGAACATTTATTGACCAGGGCAATTCAGTGTAACTTGTATTCATAGACACCCTTTCCCCTCTCCCTGTGCCTACCTGTGCCCTTGAATGGTGGTCACTGTAAGTCAGGAGGGTAGATTGGTACAGACCCTAAGCCAGTGACTTGCTGTGACCCCTGAGGATAGATGTAACCCAACCAGGGACCAGGATGCAAAGTTTACTTTAAGAACACGGGACTATGGTGATGGCACATGGGTGAATTGGTGCTGGGAAGTCCATAGGGGTTATAACCGAGTTGAAAAGCCATATATTGTACAAAAACTGAAGAATGATGTAAAAAAATAGATTGAAAAGGGAAAAAAAGTTACTATAATAAAGTAAATATCAAAATTATAAGGCAACAGTAAATCAGAGACATTCTGTAGGGGAGGAGGAGCGATATGGATCTGGACAGAGGTGGAAAGAGCACAAGGGACTGTGGTGATGGTGCACGGGGGGACTGGTGGTGGAGATTTCATGGGGTAACCATACATTGTACAAAAATGAAGGATGATGTAATGAATATATTAAAAAAAAAAAACAACACAGTCCAGTGTACCAGTGTACGACCTGAAGTCTGGGTTTGGATGGGAATACTATCCAGGAGCTCAAGACTGCCAGAGTTACACAGATGTAAATAGAGCAGTGCCTGAAATTAGAACTCACATGTAACACCTTGAAGATAGTGGCTTGGGCTATCATACCTGTACTGACCTTGGGTCAGGTTTCTTTTCTTACCTTCATGGAGGATTGATTCAGATATTAGTGTGTTGGGGTGAGTGTATTCTGATTTCCAATGCAAGGTAAGGTTTGTCTGTTAGCAACAAAGTTGTAGATTTTCTGTCAGCTCTTACCCTCTCCCCTCATCTCAGCTAGAAACAATGTACTAACATTGTTTCTCAGAGTTTTTTGTTAAGGTCCTTATGGTCCATAAAATCCGGTTACTCTAGTTTGGCCTCCACCCAAGAGGCAAAAGTTGAGTATCTGTTAATGAAATAAACCCTTCTATGTATTATTGGGTACTTTGTAATAATAGGTTATGTAACTGCTCCTTTCAAGAAATCTGGCAAAATATTGACATAGAGTGTCTGTCAAGTGCTTAAGGCGAGAGGACTATCTTTATGTTAGTGAAGACAGGGTGGATTCTCTTAGGAGGGTTAAGGGAGAGAGAATGCAAGATTCCACTGAGCAGCTGGCAAGGAATAGTCTTTCATGTTTCTTTGGCTAATAGTACATTTTTTAAATGACTTTCTCAAGGGCCTCCCTGGTGGTGCAGGGGTTAAGTCTCAGCACTATGAAGTTATCAGCAGTCACCACAGCACAAGTTCAATCTCTGGCTGGAGAGTGAACCCACATGCCACAGCAGGTCTCTCCTGTCTGGCCCACTGCTCACCTCAGCAGTGTATTTCAATAGATTTGCCTGTTCTACTCCCCACTGTCTCTGGTAAATTCACTTACCTACCCACACCTCTAGCCTGTACCCCAGATCTTGTATACATAAATAAATATATCTTTTCTTATATAAAATGAGATTACTGTCTCAAGCCTTTGGAGTCTAATACTTTTCAGTTTGGAAGGTAACAGGAAAGCATTATTACTTGAGAGAACAGGCACATTTGACATACACACACACACACCCATTTGTGGCAATGTAGACAGAAATAGAGGAGATTATGCTAAGCAAAATGAGAAAGGCAAATACCAGATGCTGTCACTTACATAAAATAATATGTTTATTTTATTTGTACACAAGTTGTAACCTATCAATAGGTCTATTTTAAATTTCTTTTTATAAAAGACAAAGTAAAGTGTTTTATAGTTTATAATTTATTTTACCATCTGGGGTAATGAGTATACAAGGATATAAACACCTTCTGTCAAGAAAATTTAAAAACATTTGCTTTTCACTACTGGTGAAATGTGGCTATCTTGAATTGACTTAAAGTCAAAAATAGTCTTTCTTTTGTTTGAGGTTAGTATCAAAAGTGTCAAAAATGTTTCTTTCAGAATTCCAGGAACCCAGTTTTGAGGAGAAGGATAGCAATTTCATTTATTTGTTGACAAATGAACAGGGTAGCAGACTTGAGTCTGAAAACCATGCCCTGCTCCTAGCAGAGTGTAGGGCGCAGGAGTCACAAGGGATTGAGAGGCAATGAGAGGGACTGAGAGGGACTGAGAGAATGAGAGGGTGCGGGCAGGCTCAACTCGAGCCAGCCGTGCAACATGAGCACACACTGGTCAGCAATTCTGATGTTATTTTTGCAAGGATTTGTCCTTTGCTTTGAAGTTTCTTTGTAACAAAGCCCTTTTTCCTGGGCATGCAAAGAAAAAGCAAGATGTCAGTTGAACATACAGATTAAGGTCGTTAAACCCGAGGGGGAAGAGAGCGTCTCTTTCCAAGGCAGGGAGGGATAAGTGACTCATTGCTGTATCATGACCTTCCCTGCCAGTCATCCAACTATTAGCCCTGTCTTCTTAAAGCATTCTTTTCACTCAGTTACCCGTCACTCAGTTACCCGTCTTGTTTGGTAATATCTCTGTCAGGATTTTCTTTTCACTCAGTTACCCGTCACCTCAGGCAGATAGGTCTGACTGGAATCAGAGGACTCTGTGAAACCCCAGGTGGATGTGCTTCAGCACAGAGCCGCTCCCATGCTTGTCTGACTGAACCACACACCAACTAGTTTTTATCCCAGCTTTGAAGGCCTTTGTTTCCTCTCTTGCTACCTAAACTTCATAGATCTGTGTCCTCCATTTAGACCCTCCTCTTTCATGGGCTGTTGCATGATGCTGATAATTCAGTGTGCTGAGAGGTGATATTCAGACTGAGTGACCAGAAAGTATTGAAGGAATTTTGACAATAAAGGCCAATATGTATAATTGTAATTTATATAATTTGCTACTTAAATTATTTTCCTCAGAGCTTGAATGGAATGTAACAATGATTAAGACAAAACAACTGGATATTTTTTTTTTAAAGATTTATTTTTTAATGCATACAAGAGCTGAGGTGTAGGTTAGAGGCGCAGGGAAGTAGGGTTCAGCAGAGACAGAGTTGGGAGCAGAACAGGCAGATTGACTGAAATATACTGCTGAGGGGAGCAGCAGGCAAGACTTTATTAGAACCACTCTGTGATGTACATCGCTGACTTTTAGTCTATTTAATCAGAATGGCACATAATATCATTCATTCCTCAGGGACTATTGAAGAACTACACACACACACGTACATATAAGTATATGTATACGGTATATAGCACACTAGCATGTCTGACACAATTTACTTTATAAAATACAAGCAATTGCTTAAAATTATACTTCTTTCAGGTCCTTGTCTGCTTTCCCTAGAGCCTGGTGCCTGGCTTTTTTTTTTTTTTTTTTTTTTTTTTTTAATTCTGTGTGCTCAAGCTTCCCATTCATTCCAAAGAATAAGGGAGGCCCACTCTTGTTTGGTAATATCTCTGCCAGGATTTTCCTTGGTTTGACTGCAATAATGCTTGTGGCTGTCTTGCTCAGAGCCTGACCTACCATGCAAGCATTCTGATCTGCTTCCTGAGATCCAGAATGGGGGTTGGAGGAAAGGGAGTAAACTCTGAAACTACCCATTGCCGAGCTTTACCTGCTAGCTTGATTTTGG